CTCACAAAAGTGTTTCAGCAATGAGAAGAAAGTTTTCAAAAGAACATCTCATTCAAATAGACATTTATACATTTTCAGTCAAGGAATACCGCATACGAGAGAAAAAGTCACAAACATAAATTTCCATTCAGTATTGCATTCCCGTTTGCGGAACACTAATAAGTTGAACCTTAATACATTATTACTATAGTAAAAGAACTTAATTTTGAGTCCTTATTAACAAATTAAGTGCATTCGCAGCGAACCTTTATAATCGCATCAGGCTGAAGATAACTGTATGCTCAAATTTGAGTAATGAATCATCCAAAATACAAATTTATCAAAACTCCCAATAATGAAAATCAAACACTACAAAATGAACTTTCCTCTCTTTTCCCGAATTTTCTAGGAAACCAAACACTGCAATTACAAATCTGAACAGTGGATTGACAATGACTAAGCGGATTAACTACTTCCTCAATTGTTAGAGAACCCTAACACTAGAAATTTCTCACCGAGTCCTCAAATTCCCTTCGTTTTCTCGGTAACAAAACAAATAAAAAGTAAAAAGAGAAAATGGGAGAAGCTGAACCTGTAGCGGAGGGAACTGAGCGGAAGGCGCCGCTTGTTCGAGAAGCTTGGTGGAGGAGTGGAGCAAATCGGTCCAGCTACTCATGTTTTGCTCCGTCGCCATGGCTTCTCCGAGAGAGGTAAAGGGTTTAGGACTTTTTCAAGGCCCTAACGAAACGAAATTTAAACAGGCACTGTAAAAACTGCAGACAAATTCGGAATGTTTCCAAAAAAAAAAAAAAAAAAAAAAAACCTTTCGGAATTTGTTTCATCCCAAAATTATTATTGGGAAGATTTTAAACCAAATTTTGTAAATTAATAATGGTTGATGATTGGATTATTAAGTATTAAAGTGTTTATTTTTCATTAGTGACACATTTAAGGATGGCAATTCAAACCCTTAAACCCAATAACTGAAATGGAACGAATTTGAGATGTAAATTCGGGTATATTTCAGATTTTTCTAGAAATATTATCTAGTTATCGTTATAAGGGTTTTTAATCTGTATCCGACTCCGAGTCCAATCCAAATAACACACATTATGTATAGTATAATATAGTATTGTATAGAATATATGTATTTTCATGGAACTACTTTTGAGAATAACAAGTTACATTATGTGAGAAAGTTCAAAAAATTTGAACCAAAACCAATGAAAATTCAATGGTGCTTACAAAAGGGATCAAAAATCAGGCAACGTCATTAATATTCTAAATTCAAAGCTCTAATTTTGTTGTCGCAAATTCTAGAATTATTTGACAGTGATTGTTTGCTTTTGTCATCCTTTCCTTTTTTCATTAGATCAATTTATGATATTTACTTATCATGAACAACTACAAAAATCAATGTTTTTTTACGATTGGACATGGATATCTAATAACGAAATTAGTATCTATTGTTGCAATCCTAATTAGGTTAGAAATGTAATTATGTAAATCTCAGAAAATCCTTACGGGATTCTACCATATTTTATACTTTAAATATTATCATGTTAGAGTTGTAATCCTATATGGGTAAGGAATTAACATTTCCTGCTACTATAAATAAAGGTGCAATGTGGTGAATAAACACACCACAGAGATCACGCAATGCTTGCTACACTCTCTCTCTCAATCTCTTTATAATTCTTCAATCAAATAGGCATACAACATGTTATTAGCACGCTCTTATGTTGTGTTAAAGAGAGTTTGTTCATATTCAATCAGGGGAGTATTATGTTTTAATCATTTTTTTTTATGATGAACTTATTATTTTATTAAATTGGTCTACATGCTATTGATGCAATTTGCTTGTTCTTTGTTGAACGTGATAGGATGCTTTGAAGATGAAATTCCAACTTTCCGATAAACATCTCTTACAAATTCAAAGGCTCAATTTGTTTTCTACCAATCAGGTTCTGCTAAAATCCAAGTTTGATATTTTCAACGACCATGATGTTTGAACCCCTTACTTTTATATTTTTTTCGACAAGCAACGATATTTGGTATTTCATTAATCAACCGAGAGTAATACATAGGTGCCAATTGGGTGCAATCCTCCAATGACTAAGAAAATAATCTTGAAGAATTTGCGCAAATGAGACAATAATAGTAAACCCTTAAGCAGCTACCACATGTATGAGAACTTTCCACAACACCCATACAAACTTGTCACAGAAACGATATATAACATATTTGTATAGGTGATTGCAAACAGTTGCTGCCAAATAATGTGGCCACATAAAGTCATCGAGGGAGCGAGACCACATAAAGTCATCGTTAGTTGACGAGACCACATAATACAACACTTAAAGCGAAAACCCAATATAGCCATCATTGCAGTGAGGCCACAATAGTCACTAGGCGAGACACTAGAGCTAGACTAAACTAGCTCAAAACTAAATTAAACTAAGATAAGCTAAAATAAAGTAATTCGAGAAGGGAACCACAAAATGACACATCCGATGGAATGATAGGACCCTCAGGCAAGGAACATAGTCGTGCCACGACACATGACAGGTCTAGTCGCCATGCCTCAAATCCAGCGGAGTGGCAATGAATCACAGGCGGCAGAGATTCCAAATGTAACCACCAACTAGAAGCCCAGACATAGCCGCTGCCAGATTTGAACACCCAAACCAAAGTAGCACCACCAAGGAGGCAACGCTCTAATCCGAACGTGGATTACAGCAAGTCCACCGCATCAAATTAAAGTGACGAAGTGTGGCTCCAACCCACCAACAACCCCAATCTAAGCCCAAATCACACGTCGTACCCTGAAACAAGGAAAAAGCCTTGAGTAAAGCATAACTCGGATCTAGGAAGAACGCGTGAAGCTAAGAGTCAAAACGGTGGGAGAGAAGGTCCACTTGCATCCGGAAACCCACACCTACACCCAGAGCACAATCGGCATAACAAGGTGCATCTTAAAAAGACAAGGTTCAAATCTGAAGGTTGGGAGAGAGACATGGGAGGGGGAGAGGAATGTGATGGGTTGAGAAGGCTGAGATGGGGTAAGACGACGTAAGAAAATAAGGGGGAGGTGGATGGCTAGGTGAGAGAAAATCTGGGATAGGAGGGGGAAAATAGAGGGGAATAGAGGGGAAAGAGAGAATGTGAAGAATAGAGGGAAGCTAGGAGGAGAATGAGAAGTTGCCATCGGCCTCCAACCTTAGCTAGAGACCGACAGCCATGGAGGAAACTAGGGTTTGACACGGAGCGAGAGGGTTTCTAAAAAGAGTTTTTGTCGAATGGATAGAGCATATATTTTGCTCTAGTACGTCGATATTTATATATTGTATATTGCATATATTTTCAATATATATATGTATTCATGCATACACAATTTATAAATTCACTGTGTGGAATTTGTGATCAAAGAAACATAAGAAAATAGAGGCAAAAACTAGGGTTTTGAAAACACTAAAAGCGAAAAAAATTAGAAAAATTAAAAAAGATCTAGGTATTTTTCACGGCTTCAAGTTGCGCCTTCGCTGAGCAGAAGCCAAGCCGAGCTAGCTGCTCAGGCCTGGGCTTCTGTGGACTTCAACAATCCTCCGTGCTGTATTGCGCATGTAACGAACCAGGCCTTCGGCCTTGGTTCCTGCTTGCTAGGTCTATAGCCCTCCAGCCCACACCTGAAGCGGGCAAGCTTGTTGGGCTTCGATTTTCCCTCAAAAACCCCTATCATAGCTTTGATTTTTATTTTCTCACTAAGAGATTTTTTTTTGGCCAAATTTGAATGGAACCCAATTCAGTTGTTCAATTTTTCAGCCTATGGAGTTTCTGAAAATTTTAACCTTTTAGCTGAGTTTTGAAATTTGTATACAGGGGTTAAGTCCAAAACTGAAACTTATGAGAAAGTGGTAATGTTTACATCCCCTAAATGCGGGCAAGATCTTTTCTCTGATTATCGGACCAAAATATAGACTATCTTTTATGGCGTGTTTGTGCATCTGGAATGGAGATAGAAGAAAGGGAATCAAATTCTTCCGTGGATGATTCTGGCGTTTACCAAATTTTGGGAATGCAAAATATTAGTGGGCTCCACCCAAAGTCAGGAATCAAACTCCTAATATTCCCATAATTGAATTACTGACTTGGCTGAGATATTTGAATTCCGGATGAAAGCCAACATCCAGAATCAACCCCTTCGACTGAAACTACCCTTTCAGATTCAACCCCTTCCATCTGCCTCCCGCGATTCAACCACCCAAAGCGCACCCATCCCAACCCTTGAACCAACACACACCACCGCAACACCTCCCAAAATGCCAAAGTGCCAATACCCATCACCAACCCACCCTAAAAATTCTACCCAACAGACCCAAATCCAAACCCGAATGGAGAGAGAGAGAGAGAGAGAGAGAGGTTAAGGTTGAAGTGTCAGGAGCAGCAAGAGTTGGTGTTTGGGGATGATCGGAGAAACACATTGAGGAGGATGTAGATGGAGAGTTTAGAGGGTTCTGGTGGAACCGTGGAGGTTCCAAAAATTTATGTTGAGTTTTAACTCTTTAAAACACATATACTAGTGTGAAATTGTTTAAAAAAAGGTAAAATTTGTCTATTATAAATTAAGGATATTTTAGTAATCATACTAGTTTTCATTCTAATTGAAGTGAATTAGTAAACAATTTATATAGATTCAACATCATTTCGACTTCAATTCCAGACAATTTTAGTAAACAATTTTAACAGAAATCTGATTCTGATTCCACATCATTTCAATTCCTTCTCAATTCAATTTCTCTCAATTTGATTACGAATTAGTAAATATGCCCTTAATGTTCTGCAACCCGGTTATGGGACCCATTTATACAAAAATAACTCGGTGGAGGGGAAGAAAGAAGATGATCTCATCTTCTTCTTTTTTTTTTTTTCCTTTTTAAAAAAAAAAAATTATAGTATAATATAATAATTTAGAAATATAGCCATTTTAAAGACCAATTATTGAAAGATAGCCTACATCTTTTATATTTTATAAAGCTAACCAAAATTAGAGTTGAAATGACTTAAATTATCCTTAACTTTCTCTTCCACTCCTGGCTCCTGGCTCCTGTTGTTGTCTTTGAACTCATCTCCAACTAAAACACTACCTCTAAACTTCTCTTTACCCAGATGCAATTAAACCAAGTGATCACGCCAAGCACTAGCTCCATATGAATCTCCTCGGCGCGCCTCCAATGATTATCTGACGAAGACTCCCTCTGATCCCACCTCCTCTCTTCCGATTTCCCTCCTCATTTTTTCCTTGATTACCTCCCCAAATTCATCAACCTATAAATCCCTCTACAAAATCAGGTAAAAAGATTTGATTTTTTTTCTTGTATTATTTTGGGTTTATATTCAGCTACCACTTTAATATGTAAATTAAAAAATTCAGCTACAATATGAGAAAATAGCGTCCCATCGGACGGCGGTGTTGAGGAAGGAGAGTCAGGTTGTAGAACGGTATTTTAAGCTCTGGGATATGGAGACTCGATTGCCTGAAAAGACACAAAATGTGAAAAACTCTTTCTGAGCTCTCAAATAATCTGAGCAGGATCTGGTTCTTCTGGGAAAACACATTTTGAGGATATAATAGTACTTTTATATCAAATTATGTTTATAATTATCATAAACATAAAAAAATAGCTATAATTCTATACAGGATTTAAATTTGGGTTATTTTTCTAATTTTTTTTTGGTTTGTGGATCAAGTTATATGTCACATTAGCACACAAGAGTTTTTTACAGAATTGTGACTGAAGTACTATATTGATTTGCGATGCTCATTTTCAAAAACTACATTGATCGATTTTCAATTCCAATAATCATCTTGATATAGTAGATTAATTTCGAGAACCATTTATAATAAAAAACCCAAAATTGTATATAAGAAAAGGTTTGACAATATCCTAAATTTATAAAATATATGTTATTACATTCTAAAAAACCGAAATAACTCCAATCCAGAAAATTTCAAATTTGAAAATTCCGCTCCAATCCGAAATTTGTATAACAAAAATGGGAAATATTGTTTCTAACCAATCCTTCCAAAACTCACCCATAATTAAATATTTACATGAGATCTTAAAAATGGATTTCTAATTTCACGGCATGTGTACAAACTAAGCATTTGCATAAAGTTAATTATCACTTAAAATAGTCATACGTCTTGGCTTTATCATGCGCGAAATTAACATGGGTTGGTAACACATCTTAGGCAAATAAATAGGGTTCATAAGTCTATTTAAATGGAATATGTCATGAGAATAATCTAGTCAAAAGATTTGGTAAGTGCGGTATGGTGGTGGGCTGTTCTCAATTATAAATTCAATTAAACCTTGGGCTGCCTCTATATTAGGCCGGGCATGAAAAGTTGAAAACCATGAAATCAAGAAACCAAACCATAACAAAAAAAACAACCCAGAAAAACCAAGTTTACCAAAAAATTGAACTTTATTCTAAGAATTGAGTTGAACCGATTCAGATCGGTTCCACACTTCTTCTCTCTCATTTTTTTCTTAGCCTCTCCCCCCCCCCCCCCCACCCCCCAAATACATTATCACCCTATCTCCCTTTTCCTTTTCCTCTCCCAGTTCTTCTTCCTCTTTTTTGTGAGTGAAACGCGTGGCAAGAGAGCTAGATCGACTCGCAAACTATTGAAAGGTGAACAAACGATCGACGTGCTTTCTCTTTTTTCTCTCTGCTTACACGTCATAAATCTTACATGGCATGAACTTCACAAGTTTGTTGTTTGCAGGTTTGTTGTTGAAATAGTAGGATCAAGAAGAAGAATATATAAAATTTTGGTTCAAAATCAGAAACTGGTCAAATCAAACCGGAATCGTTGTAAAACGAATGGTGCGCTTTATAAATAATTTTTAATATAACAGGACCGAACTGAACTGGTTAAATTAATTTAATTTCAGTTTCAATTCAAGGAGTAAACTAGACCAAATAAGATCGTCCCACCCCCACTTAATACGGAGGATAGAGATTTACATGACACCGAAACACGTAATGTGGCGGTGTTTTAAACCAATTATGTGTTAACATGTTCCGTCAAATGACTAGTTTGAGTCATCATCCCATGACATTCCTGCTTCATAGAGAGAGTTTTCTTCGTCTTGGTTAAAACAAACCTTTGTTTTATCATTGCTCTTGGACTTCGAACGTAATCTTTTTTTTTTCTTTCTGAAAAAAGGGTAATGCTAGGGAGACTTTGTAAACTAAATGATATAAAAGTTGATGGTTGGATTATTCCTTAAGTGTTGATTAACGTGCTTATTTCTTATTGGTGACATATCATTTAGCTTGAAAATTTAGTCTACCTTCCATTACCCCAAAAAAATTACAGCCATGTTACACCTTGGACTTGATTTTTGCTCCACTTTGGTGGAATTTCATCTATTATGTCAAATTGACGTTAAATATGATGACATGTAAGGGTATACTATATTTTTCGCCTAATTAGTACCTTTAGATGAAAGCAGATCATCTCCTAATCTAGACATCCGGAGCCCAAGGATCCAATAATCCTGACCTTTAAAACGGATCCTATTGCCAAAAGCAAAGAACTTATTGAAAACTTTTGAAAATTATAATAATTTTTTACTGTAAGATCCAATTTTAAAGGTCAGGATTAGTTGATCCTTGGGCTCCGAATGTCTAGATCTGGAGAGGATCTACTTCCCTTTCAGACCACTAAAGCTGTCAAAACAGCCAACCAGAAGCTACCACGTGGTCCCTTCCCACGTCCTCAACTCCCACGCTTCTCTTCTTCTTATTCTCCAAGCTGGCTTTGAAGGCTTCAAAGGTTTGGAGCTCCTCCAATGGGAGATTGGAGATGATAGTCTCCAAAAGCTCTTTGTTGACTCTTCAAAGCTAAACATGATGATACGTCGGGGACAGAGGAAGAAGACAAAGGCTTTTGATTCGTTCTCGAAATTCTAGGAATAAATTGCTTGATGCCGCCATCGTTCTCACCACTTATCCTCCCTCTTCGCCATGAATTAAAACTACAAATTAAGAGCTAGCATATGAGATTTGATTTGATGGGTTGAGATTTGCAAGCAGTTTGCAAGGTCTCCAACATCTTCTTGGGCGAGATCCAAGCTTTGCAGTTTGCACCACACAATCTCCAACTTATGAGATAAAGTTTAAAATATAAGCTTTAAATTTCCTCCAAACCATCTCTAACCATTGGGTTAAAATAAGCCTTGCGGAAAATATATATCTTTAGGCTAGATTCCCCCAAAAAATTAAGCCTAACTTAAATTATTTTGGAGCCACCAAACTATCATATTTCAAACTTTTTTTTTGGTTTTTTACTTATAATCCAACGGCTGTGACTTAATAAGATCAAACCTAACGGTAAAAGATTTGACGACCCAAAATTAAATCTAACGTCGAAAATAATTTCACTTAAAACTTTATAATACCTAAGTATTTGTATGATTTTTAATTATTTATCGAAATTTAAATATTTTTAGGTTAAAATGTTCATAAAAATAAATTAGGATAAACTACATAAATTAAATCATTATTTAATAATTGTTGGCTAAAATTTTAAGCCATAACCATTGAAGGAGAAAAGTAGTTTTTGGGTTATAGCTTAAATTTTTTTGGCTTAAATTCTTAAGCTTTATCCCCAGGAGTTGGAGATGGTTTAAAAAACATAAGAGCTTTGACATTAGACCTGACATCCGTGTCGTGTTTTTCGTATTCGTGTCATTTTTGTGACATACCCGATATTTTAACGGGTCGTGTCGTGTGACACCCGTTAATATAAATGGGTAATATGACCGGACCCGAAATTGACCCGTTAATATTATCAAGTAATATGACTCGACCAGACCCGTTAAAGAAAATATATTTTAAATCAATAATTAATGAAAATGAAAACATAATTTGACCCCAAAAAAATGAAGAACATAATACTAAATTAGTATATGCATACTATATCATCACAATAATATTACTTCAAAACATAAAAAAAAAACATTTGTCTTTCAAGTATTACATACTCCAAAATATGAGCCTAATGAAAACATTAGTACATTACTACAAAATACCAAATGTTCAAGATATGCAAAAAGAAGGGAGTTGTGTTTCGTAAGACTTGGAGGGTTTTAAAAATCTAAACGACCATGTAACCATCGTAAACGTAATGATGCAATCACGAGCGTTTATATGAGATTTCACATGTTTTAGACTTGTACGTTAATGATTATGAACTTAGTTTATTTTGAACTCCCTTAAAAAAATAATATTCATGAGGGTTTGTGACACACCCCTACTCGGAATGTCCACTAGGACTCCGAATCGAGCTGTGTTGGCCTACACCTGGAAGGTGACAAAGCCATAAAGTGAAGTGATGTGGAAAATGTGAATCAATTTAAACCTAAAAGTGCCTAAATACAAGAGTGCGCTGGTGAGCGGGATTGAACCCATTTCACAATGTCATAGTGAAATGAGAATTATACCATCGGAGGTAGTCTCCAATACCAGATTTGCCAATAATCCTCGTCGATACAAAAGTTCAGCTGCTAAACCTAGAGGGGCGAAAAACAAAGGTGAGTGGGCCTAAAAATAAAGTTTTACAAAAACATTTTCGAAAACATAATAACCTCTCACTGTAAAACAAGTATAGTTTCCAAAACATACATACTACTTATAGTATAAAAATGCTTACCAAATCCAGCAATATTTCAAGGATGACATACGTCACAACTTTCGTAAATGAGTATATGACATCCGTAATCACATATTTTCCCATAATTAAACATATCACATCGAATGCTCATCGACAGATGCTGACACACAAGTTCATGTAGAGATATTCTGACATGAACAAGACTGGATGTAATAATGATATATACTCTAGTACTACAATCACGTGAAGACTGGTGCTATGTGCAACACATACAAGTCGGAGTTGCCTATTGCAACCTGTACGACAGGAATGACACCTACAATGGAACCAAAGTGTGCGTATGGTGCAATGTGCACATACATGTGAAAGACTGACCCTGGCCCGGGTGAGTAGTAACACCAATGTAGCAGTGATGAGCAAATAACTTCAATATAATCATGCCATAACAATTCAACAGTTTTAGTCAATATATATTAGTATTCATGACCATAAATATGATTAAGGCATCCCATAAGATTTATAATGACTTCCTAATTCTATATATGGAAACTTAAATAAATATGTGTATATACCAAAGAAAAGACCCACTCACAAATCATGTCGCCGAGTCAAACCCGCCTCGTAACATCGAGAGTTCTTGCAATGTGTTTCGCTTAGAAACGAAACCATTTATGTAAATACGTAACGTATTAACGTATAAATGCATTTTTGTACAAAGTACAGCTACTAAAGGAACTATTTTAAAATGATCAAATTTTGGAAAACGGAGGGCGGATTCGGGTCTGGCACGTCAAGAAACCTAAGGAGGGGCCTCAGGTTTCTCCACGCACCGCCACAAGGTGGTTGCACAAGCAGCCACGCGCCGACCACTCCACACGTCTACGTACACCCACTTGTCTGCGAGTACATATGTACTTGCCTTC